TGGGGCCCTGCACCTGTGCACTCTGTGAATGGTTTTCGTTACTTTGTTCTATTTGTGGATGACTTTACCCGCTTTATTTGGTTTTATCCGATGCGCTTAAAAACTGATATATATTCCATATTTGAACGGTTTCGGTCACTTGTTGAGCGCTCGTTTTCTCAGAAAATACTTTCTATTCAGTCTGATTTAGGGGGAGAGTACAATAAACTTCACTCTACCTTTGAGTCTCTTGGCATTCGTCACAGGCAGTCCTGTGCATACACACATGAACAGGATGGGCGGGTAGAACGCCGTAATCGGCATATAGTTGAGACTGGTTTGGCCCTGATGGCTCAAGCGTCTATTCCCTCTCGTTTCTGGGACTATGCGTTTGAGGCTGCTGTATACTTGATTAATAAAATGCCTCCCAGTGTCTTAAACAATGAGTCTCCTCACTCTCGTTTACACCGGTCCCCTCCGTCCTATTCTTTTTTGTTTGTCTTTGGGTGTCTGTGTTTTCCTTTATTACGTCCCTATAACCGTAATAAATTGGAGTACCGTTCTTCTCCTTGTGTGTTTATAGGATACCCTGACGCTTTTCGTGGCTATCGTTGTCTGAATCCTATCACTAATAAGGTCTTTATCTGTCGCCATGTGCGATTCGATGAGTCCGTTTTTCCCTTTGCTGGCTCTGTTTCTTCGCAGGTGGTGCCTCGGCCTCCAGTGGTGCCGTGGGGTGTTGCCCCCATCGTTCCTGTTTCTTCTTCTGCTGCGAAGCCTGTAGATGATGCGCCGGTTCCGGGTATGTCCTCTGGTCCGGTTGACTCTGTCTCCACTGAATGGACTGTTTCGGCCGTTCCTAAGCCTTCTCGTGGCCGGCCTCGTGGCAGTAAGAACAAGGTGGTAGGTCCGCGCTCTCATGTTATGGCGACGAGGAGTCGGGGCCCGCAGCAGCATGTGGCTCTCGTTTCTGCTACTACTACTCATGAGCCGACATGTTACTCTCAGGCTGTGGCGCATTCGGAATGGCGTGAGGCCATAGATGCTGAGTTTAATGCTCTACTTCAAAACTAGACTTGGAGTCTGGTCCCGTACACTCCAGGTATGAATGTTGTGGGTTGCAAGTGGGTGTTTCGGGTGAAACGGAATGCTGATGGGTCTATTGAGCGGCATAAGGCTCGTCTGGTGGCCAAAGGTTTTAATCAGGTCGCTGGTAAGGATTTCTTTGAGACTTTCAGTCTGGTGGTTAAGCCAACCACGGTTCGTCTTCTTCTATCACTGGCTCACTCCCGTGGTTGGTTCATCGTCAGGCGGATGTCCACAACGCTTTTCTAAACGGTAACCTGGCTGAGACAATGTATATGCGTCAGCCACCTGGTTATGAGGATAAGTCTGTCCCTGATTATGTCTGCCATCTACAGCGTTCCTTGTATGGACTGAAGCAGGCCCCTCGTGCATGGTTTACCCGGTTGCATGATTTTCTTATTTCTGTTGGTTTTGTTCCGTCCAAGACTGATGTTTCGCTGTTTATATATTCTGTCAGTGGTGTGCAGCTTTATTTTCTTGTGTATGTTGATGACATTTTAGTCATGGGATCAGACTCGAGCCGTGTTGATGGGCTTGTGGCTCAGCTTGCGCGTACATTCAAGATTTGGGACATGGGACCCCCGTCTTTCTTTCTTGGCATTGAGACGTTGCCTCTACATGTTGGTATTCTTCTCTCTCAACGGCGTTATATACAGGATATTCTTAAGCGTGCAGGAATGGTTGACTGTAAGCCGGTTTCTACGCCTATTTCGATCACTCGGTCTGATGATGATGATTCTACTCCGTTTGCTGATCCTACCCACTACCGTAGTATTGCGGGTGCACTTCAGTACCTGACGGTGCCTAGGCCAGATTTGTCATATGCAGTTAACAGGCTTTGTCAGCGCATGCAGTCCCCCACTACTGCTGACTGGGCGGTTATGAAATGTGTTCTGCGGTATGTGAAAGGAACTCTTGGTATGGGTCTCTGTATTCGCAAGTCGAAGTCTCTTGCGTTCTCGGATTCGGATTGGGCAGGTAATCCGGATGACCGGAAATCCACAAGTGGTTTTGCAGTATTCTTGGGCTCCAATTTAGTTGCTTGGTCTTGTCGGAAGCAGCGGACAGTGGCGCGGTCCTCTACTGAAGCCGAATATAAGGCGCTGGCTGATGTGGCAGCGGAGGTCACGTGGTTGGTTTCTTTGTTGCGCGAGATTGGCTTTCCTCCAGACTCTGCGCCGGGACTGTGGTGTGATAATCTTGGGGCAACATACCTCTGTGTTAATCCGGTTTTTCATGCACGAACAAAGCATGTTGAAATTGATTATCACTTTGTTCGCGACAAGGTTGCCAAGAAGGAGTTGCAGGTTCATTTTATCTCCACGAAGGACCAGCTAGCTGATATTTTCACCAAGCCACTTGCATCTGCTCGGTTTTCATTGCTTCGGGACAAGCTCAATGTTTCGAATGCTCCACCTTGAGCTTGAGGGGGAGTGTTAGGACTCTAGTATTAGTAGTCTAGTAGAACTCTTTTATACTTGTCTTCTATCTCTTCTATATTAGTATTGTACAGATGATTATTCGTTCTAGTTAATCAATACAATCCTCATCTTAACAACACCCAACCACGGCAAATTATGTTGTGCATCCGTATGCACGGATGCAAAAACGTCGTCGTTTTATTAAAAATGCGCGTCTCCTCTTAAAAAAAAAATTCAGGTTCGATTCCCAGCAACAACATATGAACTAAAATTTCAAAATCGATGAACTATAATTCCATAATCGATGAACTAAAATTCCAGAATCTAATCTATGTACTAAAAATACCAGAATGAATGAACTAAAATTCCAGAATCTATGAACTAAAATTTCAGAATCGATGAACTACAATTCCAGAATCGATGAACTATAATTCCAGAATCAATGAACTAAAATTCTATAATCTATGAACTAAAATTCCAGAATGAATGAACAACATAATGCTGTTGCTAGGAATCGAACCTGAACACCATACAACGCACTCTCATGGGCCTTACCCTGCACCAAAGTAGGGTACCGATGTCTCGTACCAACCCACCCTCACGATACAAATCTCTGCATTTTGACCCGCGGGCGCCAATCAAGTCAGCACCCTAAGCATTAGGCAATGTACCTATTGAGATTTGGACCAAAGAGTGCTAGAAATAAGCAGTCACTTAATTATTAGGCTAAATAATGATTCAAGTAAATACGAATAATGTATATTTTTTAACGGGGTAAAGGCTCTCAATTGTATTAATATTATAGCACAAGGGTTTCAAAATAATAAAGGTAGAATCATTTTACAATTTGCCTTTTTTCAATGTAGATATAGATGTAATCACTTAGTTATTTAATATGTAGATTTTGTCCATCAATTTATTTTAAGAGGTTCTTTTTTTAAGAAATTTATTTTAAAAGATTAATTTGGCCATTTAAGTATCAATTAAGCTTCATTCCTACTCGATTTGGTAAACTTGTATTTGTATTGCAAGTACAGACAACCTCAATGGAGATGCACAGATTTGGAAGTTTTTGAATTGTTTGATACTTTGATGGATCATATATCATAATTAGTCATTTTCCTGTGCTACTTTTGAGCAGTTGTTGCTAAAATTCCGCCTAGGCACCTGAAATTGTGCCGTGAATCTTGAATGCAAGATGTAACTTAGGATTCTACTTATTTTTATATTAAGTAACAGTCATGTCCATTAATTTGGTAATTTATCAATAATAAATAATGGAAATTAAAAGCATAAATATAAAACAAGTACACAAAGAAATTGTTACGCAGTTTGGAGCGCTTCTCCTATGTCTGCGGGGCAACCCACGTCTGCTCAATCCACTATAGATGTTCACCAAAGAGTTATACAATATGTAAGTACAAATGGCTATCAGCCGTTACTACCACAACCCTTCCTAACACCTACTCAGGACTGAACCGTGCAAGCCATAACAATCTTCGAGTGAAGCTTCAGCTGACCCAGGTACAGACTGTGCAGCTCAGATTAAAACCCTAAAGAGATAATATAATGAAAGCAGATTAATATAATGACTTTGTGTAGAATTCCTTTTCTCTCAATATAGCAGTTCTCAATTCGGCAACTTTCCACAATGGAATGACTTCCTTTTATAGTAATAATTAATCCATCACTTTGATCCACATAATTAGCATCCCATAGTCTTCAACGAACCACATCCACACATTTTATTTGAAAGCCTCACATTATGCGCACAACTGACTTCCCTTTCTTTGAACAAGCAATAAATGATATCCATCCAAAAACATACTATATGATAGGAAGTGGTCCAAAGAGTTTTAACCTAACTTAAATCTAATTAAATTAAAACTAAATAAATTAGCCAACACAGGTTTTAATGTGTACTAAATTTGTACACTTACAGCACCGATTAATCGGCGCCTAGGCGCTAGGCACTGGCCGATCGCCTAGTGTATCACCATAATCGGTGGTCTAGGCGACTGGCCGGCTAGGCGGCCGACTCGGTCGTTTAAGTGCTGCCTAGGACGCATAGGCGCTGACCACCTAGGCCTTCTAGGCACCGACTAGGCTTCCTAAGCACCGACTAGGTCGCCTAGTCAGCCATTTAGCTATTGTTCCCTTCTTTTTTAAATGGATTATTTCACTCAAAATAACATCATTTTGAGCGAAAAACACTACTGGAAATTCTGAAATTTCCGACCACCTGAAATTGATCTTAAATCAAGTTGAAAGCCTTGTTTCCGACCACTTTTGGTATCCGGAAAAACCTTTGCTGTTATTTCCGACCACTTTTTCTTACAACTTGATTTAAGATCACTTTCAGATGGTCGGAAATTTCATAATTTCCAGTAGTGATAACCTTAAATTGTTCAAACTCTAAATGTTTTTTAGGTTAATATTTAATATTTTAGTGGATGCTCCACACTGCACTAGTCAATTAATTAATTTGTATGATGATGTGACGTGAATATATAAGTTGACAGAGGTGCTAGATATGATAATTTATAATCTAAAAGAAGATAGAGGATGAGCGGAGAGGGGAAAGTGGTATGCGTCACCGGTGCTTCCGGCTTCATAGCTTCTTGGCTCGTCAAGCTTTTGCTCCACCGTGGTTACACTGTCCACGCCACCGTTCGAAACCTCAGTCAGTCCCCTATTTCTCTCTTTTTCTCCTCATATATGTGTTTGATTATGGTCTTTCAATTCTCTCTCCCTCCCTCTCACATATATTTATGAGAAAGCTTGGATTGTTATGATGATATCTTATCTTTTAACAATACAAACTCAATGTGTTCCCATACACTTTGAGATGGTATCTGATCTCACATATATTTATAAGAGAGGTTGTTGTGATATGTGATCTTATCTTTTAACGAATACAAACTCAATGTTTTCCCATACACTTTGAGATATGGTATCCGCTATTTTGTATATACACACACACACACACACACACACACACACACACACACACACACACACACACACACACACATATATATATATATATATATATATATATATATATATATATATATAGATATAGAGAGAGAGAGAGAGAGGAAGGTTCAAGTGCGGCAGTGCGCTTAGGTGCGGCAGTGCGGTTAAATGTAGGCCATTAGATTAGATAAATTCAACGAATCACATTCATCCAGGCTTTTCCGATATTTTCGCGCACGTTCTCACACTACGCGAACTGCAAGGTTAAAGTCGTCATTGGGCACCTGAATAGATCAAATCATAGTGTTGTGTGTTTTATGTTCGTTATTGGTGCATTATTAACCTTATTGTGGTGTATTTGAGGATTCGTGTTGGTGCCAAGTTTAGGTGCGCCCGCGCCTTCCCATGCGGTCAGTGCGGGTGCACTAATAGTTATACAAATATACACCATCCATGTTAGAAAATGCACACCAAAAAAACATGTCACAAATTAGATATGCATCACCAGAACGCACCATTAGGTATGAATAAAAGCACCACACAGTGTTCAGAAATACACCATTGGGGTGGTGAGTTATATGGTGTATTTTTTGAGTGTGTTGTGTGATTTTTGGTGTATTTGTGCATTTCATTGTGGTGCTTTTTCCTAACACTATTGGTGTCTTTTGTTAACACTGTTGGTGTATTCTGACAAGCGACCGATATAAATGACCACTACAATTACCATAACACCCCCCACTTATCAGGACGCGCTTAAATCTTTAAATCTTCATAAATTAGCCGATGCCGTTAGATTAAGCAAAATGGACGATGCTGATATAGCCGCACCGCCGCACCTAAAGCCACTACCGTATTTGAGCGCTAATATATATATATATATATATATATATATATATATATGATTTTGGTTCATGTGAGGTCAGGTCTTCCCGTGCGGTCAGTGCGGCATACACCATTAGGTATGCATAAAAGCACCATACAGTGTTCGAAAATACACCAGAATGAAATGCCAAAAAATGCACCACACAAACAAAAAATACACCACACAAATAGTATATTTGCGAACACTGTGTGGTACATTTATGCAGGTGTATGCCGCACTGATCGCACGGGAAGACCTGACCTCACAGGAACCTAACCCTATATATATATATATATATATATATATATATATATATATATATATATATATATATATATATATATATATATATATATATATATATGCGAGTTCAGGTGCGGCGCTGCGGCATCCCCAATAGTTCAACAAATATACACCATCAACGTAGGAAAATACACCACAAAAAACAGAGACGTTCGGAAATACACCATTGGGGGTGGTGAGTTATATGGTGTATTTTTTTTGGGTCTGTTGTGTATTTTGTGATGTTTTATTGCATTTCATTGTGGTGTGTTTTTCATACACTGTTGGTGCATATTGTTAACACTATTGGTGTATTCTGGAATTTTGCCGCACCGCCGCACGGGAAGACCCCGCCGCATTTGAACTTTATTCTATATATATATATATATATATATATATATATATATATATATATATATATATATATATATATATATATATATATATATATATATATTGTTGAAATTTTAGCAGAAAATGGCATAAAAACTGACTATTTTGTTGTACAAATATATATGAGGTCCATTTCCGATTTGGATCAGGTCAAAGTGGATTTCGATTTTTCGTAGTGAGATAAAGAGATTGATATATTGTACGCTTAAAACGGATAATAGGTGAATGTGAATTTGATTTTCAAATTAGACCCATTTGAGTTGAGAGCTGAAGGTGGAAAGGTTTTGTAAAAGCACTTATCACACATTGATTTGGAGAATGAGTTTGCGCCACTATATATACAAAAGTCTTTTTAAGAGATATTGAATTGTATAATATAGAGTCTCTCTCCCTTATGCATACAAAATTTGGACAAATTTAGACCTAGACTATATTTTCTGAAGATGTGTGTGGCTGTCATTTTTTTAGTACTTTTGTTGTTTTTAATTTCAGTAGGCTTAGGCAGGGTGGTATGCTAAATGTTGGTTTAAATCAATCTAATATTTTATATGTTTCTTATGAATGATTTTAGGGAAGGAATTTATTTTATTTTAAATTTTGACATTTTTTTTATGTTGATGTTATGCTTGATGGTAAATTTGGATTTTCTTTGTTGATGTACCTTTTTTTTTTTTTTTTTTTTGTCCTTTTTCCATCTTGCTTTGGATTTTTCTTCTACGTTTCTTTTATTCAATCACAGACTCAAGTTTATTTTGTATTATATTTTTTTAATTGTCTATCATTTGAGTATAATATTTTCTATATTTTTGATTGACTTAATGTGCACGGTGACCTCCATAGGTGTGCATTTGCATTGTCATTCATCGCTGTTGGGTTTTTGTCGTATGTGTGCACTTTGTATTCATATAATGTGTGTTGCATTGTAAATTTGGCACGCGTGCATTTTGCTTGTGGTGTGATATGCATCTAATGATATGATGTGTGAATTTAAATGAAGGAATATTAGGTGTTTAATATCTTAATTTAAATTAGAATTTGAAATGATTTAGTATAATTTAATAATTATAATATGTTAATTACTTACACATAATATGTTAACTGTAAATACATAATATGCCGTTAACAAATTATGTGCATGTAATTAACAAATTATGTACCTTTAATTTATTTACAGACACACAATTTATTAACCAATGACACATAATATATTAACTTCAGACACATAATTTTTAGACCACGGTTCACAATGTCAATGTCCACACAAGCTATGTGGACCATATTTTGTATACTGTAAAATAATGTACATTCAATACAAAAATAGTGTACTTTTAGTATATTAAAAATGTACATTGTATTCATGGGATGTACATTATTTGTGTACTGAGTGTACATTATATTGTATAATGTATATACAGTACACAAATAATGTACATTTAGTATATTAAAAATGTATTTTTTGTTATGGTCCACACAATAATTTACCTCACAATGTAAGGTAGACACTGGTCCATGGTATAACAATCGATTATTTGTTTCATTTAAGGGGACAAAATTTTCAATGTCAATTATAGTTTAGGGATGAGAAGTGAGCATGGCCAACAAGTAGGGGGAATCCTATTTTACCCTATAACTTAGGGGTGAAACTTTTCCCGTTATCATATTATAGTCTAAATATATTAATTATTTTTAGTTAAAGTTTGGGAATGAAAGTTTAGATTGATTGAATAATGTATAAGTTTATATTTATTAGTGTAAATATGCTAGTTTATTAAAATTGAAAGTTTAATTCTAATGTTAGCTTAAAAATATTAACAGTTTTAGTTAAGCCAAAATAAGTCCGATAACCTAAAATTTGAAGGTTATGATCAAGAATTTTAAATTGACCAAAAACAAAGATAAGCCCCAATCAATAAGATTGACAATCTGATATGGTAACGAGGTGGTCTAATTGATATATCTAATCATAAATGGTTTTGTATATATTAAATTATTGTAGAAGATCCAAGTAAGGTGACACATCTTCTTGCATTAGATGGTGCCAAGGAAAGATTGAATTTGTTTGAAGCCGACTTACTTGAGGAAAACTCTTTTGATGATGCAATTAATAATGGATGTGAAGGTGTTTTTCACACAGCATCACCTGTACATTTATCACCATCAGCGACTAAGGTCAACCCCATTTTTTTTTCTTATGGATTAACACCCCCCCCCCCCCCCCCCCCTCCCCGTCCCCATTTTTTTTTTTTATTATTTTTCTAAATCATATTCATTTTAGGTAGGGCTAGCGGATCCTGCAGTAAAGGGGACACTAGATGTTCTTAGATCATGTGTGAGAACACCTTTTGTGAAAAGGGTAGTGGTAACGTCTTCAACAACTTCTGTTATGTACAAACAAAATCCTAAAAGTCCAACTGATGTAGTTGATGAGACTTGGTATGCAGATAAAGAATTTGCAGAAGAAACAAAGGTAATGCATATATATAGTTGATAAGAGATCCACACAACCTGATTATAAGCAAAACACTTTAATTTGTTCTAATTTATGTGACTTTTTTTTTTCTTTATAGAAATAGTATGTCTTGTCTAAAGTCCTTCCAGAGGAAGCTAGATGGAAGTATGCAGTTGAGAATGGGATTGACTTGGTTTCTTTACATCCCGCGTTTGTTATTGGCCCTCTTCTGCAACCCACTCTTAATTCATCGAGCGAAGTCATTCTAGATCTCGTAAAAGAAGGTAATATATATTTCATCGAAAAATGAGTTACATTAAATTAATAGTTGTTAAAATTTTGATGAATTTTTTCCATTATTATAAAATTGATTAATGTTATATCACATAGGTAAGGAAGCAATGCCTACTGGAATCTATCCTTTTGTTGATGTTAGAGATGTCGCAAATGCACATATCCAAGCATTTGAGTTACCTTCTGCTAGAGGAAGATACTGTTTGGTTGGGATAACAATCCACTCTTCCCAAATTTTGAACATTGCAAGCCGGCTTTTCTCTTCTCTTCCCATTCCTGACAAGTAAGATTTTCAGCTAAAGACATTATTGTTAATTATGTGAATGTTCTTAGAAAAAAAAAAAGAAATAATTATGGAAATATACCTTTTAAAAAATTTATTTTCTAATCAAAAAGATATAAAGATGACTTGCCTGCAGTAGCAACCTACCAAGTATCCCAGGAAAAGGCAAAAAGCTTGGGGATCAACTACACTTCTTTTGAAGTGAGCCTTAAGGATACTATTGAAAGTTTAAAAGAGAAAAACTTCCTAAGCTTCTAATTATTGAGCTTCTTCTCACTCACGTGGTGCCATTGAGAGATGCATGTTTTTTTTTGAAGAAGAAGAGATGCACGTTTTAACTGTTTAGTCTATGTGGAGTAGTATTTTGTAATGTAGTATTGAAGTGTGTCTTAAATTCTTATATTAGCTAAAAACTCAACTTACATCGCCTTATTGTTAAGATTATATCTCCTTTTCTATTAGAGCCATACCATACAATATTTCTTGCCCTGGCTTATCACAACCATACAATGTTCCTATATTGAACTATGTAGAAGAAAATATTCATTGTGCACCATGCCCAAATATGCTACTATATCTAGATATTGTGATTCAAAAAAAAAAAAAAAAAAAAACAACAAAATTGTTTGAGCAGCACATCCTCACCTAAGCACGCACCCACTATTTGTGTTATAGTGGTGGGCAACATTGTAAGCCACTTATTTTAAATTACAATGTATAGTTTGCATGAATAGAATTATTGCGTATTTAGTATACATGAGACTTGAAAGAAAATAAGTGTAGTAACATAAACATCAAAATGCCATCATCATTCACAATCATGAGAGTTAATTTATCATCACTAATGTCTATACTGGCTCTCACAGTGGCCAAAAAGGATTTTCCTAAAATCAAAGGGGTCATAGTATCTTTATGCATATCTAATATACGACAACTGCCGCCGCCACCACCATCATCATCATCATCTCATTCCCAATCTCGAGAGTTAATTTACCATCCCTAATGTCTATATTGGCTCTCGCATTGGCTAAAAAGGATTTTCCTAAAATCAGAGGGGTCATAGTATCTTTATGCATATCTAATATAACAAAATCAATTGGGAAAATAAATTTATATAACTTAACCAACACATTCTCAATAATTCCTCTAGGACGCTTGACAGATTTATCAGCTAATTGTATGCTCATATGAATTGGTTTAGGTTCCCCTATCACAAGCTTGCAAAATAAAGAATAAGACATCAGATTAAGAGTTAATTCCAGCGAAGGTCCCTTATCTTTTGGTGACAATTTCAAATTTAGTCCCACACTATGATTTTGTCATTTAGCACCCTAGACTATCATATTTTAGACACTTTTGGTCATTTTGATGAATTTTCAGATGAAATCCTATTTTAGGCAAGGGTATATTCGTGTCTTCAATTTTTATTTTTATTTTCTCAATGAGTTAATTCAAATGGATGTCACTTGTCTTTGATGGAAATTCCAAATTTAGTCATAGACAATCATTTTTTTCATTTAACAACCTAGACTATATATCACAGGCGTTTGGTTGAAGGGAATTTAAATTCCCTTCCCACTTAAATCCCACCTAATTTCAAAGGTCACAAAATTCCCTTGTTTGGTTGAAAGGAATTGCAATTCCATGGAATTGTAATTCTCCCTTTTTCATAGAATTAAAATCTCATGTCCCCGTGGAATTTTAATTCCTAAGATTTTAGGAAGAAAAAAATATAGTGATGAGTCAAAATTACCCCTTCCTTTTTTAACGTAAAATTAATGCCTGACAATAAGAATAATGGACATTTTAGACTATATATATATATATATATATATATATATATATATATATATATATATATATATATATATATATATATATAACAGGTCTTCTATTGCGCTCAGTGCGGCATACACCTATCAGGTATGCATAAATGCACCATACAGTTTTCGAGAATACACCAGAATGAAATGTCAAAAAATGCACCACACAAAAAAAATATACCACACATAATGGTGTATTTTCGAACCCTGTGGTGTATTTATGCATACCTAATGGTGTATGCCGCACTGACTGCACGGGAAGACCTGTTTTCACAGGAACTTGACCCTATATATATATATATATATATATATATATATATATATATATATATATATATATATTCAAGTGCGGCGGTGGCTTATGGTGCAGCGTCACCAATAATTGACCAATTATACACCATCAACGTTAGGACATACACCACAAAAAACACACACAAATTAGGTACGCATCACCAAAAACACATCATTAGGTGTGAGTAAAAGCACCATACAGTATTCGGAAATACACCATTGGAGGTGGTGAGTTATATGGTGTATTTTTTTGGGTGTATTGTGTATTTTTTGGTGTTTTTTTACCACATTTCATTGTGGTGTGTTGTGCTTACACTATTGGTGTATGTTGTTAACACTGTTGGTGACTTGGTGTATATCTGGAACAACCCTCACCGCACCGTAAGCACCCGCCGCATATGAGCACTAGTATATATATATATATATATATATATATATATATATATATATATATATATATATATATATATATATATATATATATATATATATATATATATATATATATATATATATATATATATTGTTGGAATTTTAGCAAAAAAAATGAAATATATATATTGTTGGAATTTTAGCAAAAAAAATGACATAAAAAGTGGATATTTTGTGGTAAAAATATATGTGGGTCCACTTCCGATTTGGGTCAGGTCAAAATAGATTCCGATTTTTCGTAGTGAGACGAAGACATTGATATGTTGTATGCGCAAAACGGATAATGGGTGAATGAGAATTTGATTATCAAATTAGACTCATTTGAGTTTGGAAGCCGAAGGTGGAAAGGTTTTGTAAAAATATTTATTCCATATTGGTTTGGAAGGTGGGTTTGCACCACTATATATATATATATATATATATATATATATATATATATATATACACACACACAAAAGCCTTTACACATTGAATTGTGTAGCATAGAGTCTCTATCTTGTGCTTACAAAAATAGGGCAAATTTAGATCTAGATTTTTTTAAAGATGTGTGTGGCTGTGATTTTATTAGTATTTTTTTTTTTGTTTAGGCAGGGGTGGTATGCTAAATGTTGGTTGGTTTTAAATCTATCTAATATTTTATATGTTTCTTACGAATGATTTTAGAAAAGGAACTTATTTTATTTTAAAATTTGACATTTTTTTTATGTTGATGTTAGGGGTGCATTTATGGTAAATTTGGATTTTTCTTTGTTGATGTACTCTACGTTTCTTTTATTCAATCACAAATGGCTCTATTCCATTGTAGTATCTGTTCATATACTTTCTCAACCTACTGAAACACAAAGAACCAATATTGTAGTATCTGTTCATATACTTTCTCAACCTACTGAAACACATACTTTCTCAACCTACTGAAACACAAAGAACCAATATTGTAGTATCTGTTCATATACTTTCTCAACCTACTGAAACACAAAGAACCAATAACACCTCCACTTCCACTGAGGCTTGAACTCACAATCTTCCAAGTGGAAGTCCAACCCGGGTGCCATTAGACCACATAGTATTGATTTACATTATATTTTTTAATTGTCTATCATTTGAATATAATATTTTCTATATTTTTTATTGACCTATGTGTAGTTTTCATGGGCAATGTATTAAGGTGCATTGTGACCTCCATAGTTGTGCATTTTCATTATCATTCTTCATTGTTAGGTTTTTGTCGTATGTGTGCACTTTGTGTTCATATAATGTGTGTTGCATTGTAAACTTGGCGCACATGCATTTTGCTTGTGGTGTGATATGCATTTAATGATCGCAAATTATGCTGTGCAACCGTGTGCACCAAACGACACCGTTTATTATGATGGAGTAACGGTGCCATATAACTCCACCAATCAAATAATTTTTTTTTTTTTTACAAAAACTCAAATCGATGTCTAATTATGAATATATAGTTATGCAAGTCTGAATATATAGTTATGAAGTTATAGATATATAGTTATGAAGTTATGGATGTGTAGTTATGCAATTATGTATATGGTTCTCTATGAACAAGCACTTTAAGATTTCTGAATATGGAGTTATGTAATTA